AAGGCTCTGCTTTTGTCCCAGAAAGCCTACAAATAGGCAATTCCCCACCTGACAAAGATCTATTTTAACACATCAAAAACATTTTTGAGGTTGAAATTTGTTCAAAAACGACTATAGTGTTTTCAGCCCAGAACAGAGTCTCCTCCAGCTTGAGAGTGGGTGCTGCTGAACAACGCTGCCACAGCAAGGCTTGACCAGCGCTCCCTCTTCCAGCCCAATTTCCCTGTCCCAGTACCAGTGCTGCACAAAGCACCACATCATCAGAAAACTTGGAAAAGAAAAAAAGAAAAAGCTTTTTTACCACTCGAGCTCCCTGCTCATCCAGCACAAGGGAGAAGGCAGGCTCACATGCATACGTGGCATGCAGGGAAGAGTGAGACCGTGGCAGCATCAGCTCAGTTTGGTTTAAAATCTCGTAGAGTTCTTCCTGTTTCTTCAAATTTGGGCCGAAGGCCCCCAGCAGAGGAAGGCGCACAGTACCCTGTCCTGCAGGTACCGCAACAGGAACTAGCTGCACTGTTATTTCGCAGCAAGTCTGAGCGAACTGTTGAGCAAGATGACAAAAGGCGCTGTGGGCAAAAGGTGTGACCAGAACCCACGTATGCAAGCTGAGCCTCCCGGTGTGCTAACGCAGAGCCACCCCAGCAGGATGCCAAATAACACACCAGGCTCTGCAACATAACCCCTACCCTCCTGGTAGCCCAGCTACTGGGCTTCACGCCAGCACCAGTCACTGCCACGTTCCTGACAGGAAGCTGCTAGGATACAGGATTGGCTCTCCTGGTAAACAACAGGAGGTGAGCTAAAGCAAAATCTCCTTTGAAGAAAACACGGTTGCCAAGACCAAGGGTTTGGTCTTAACCTGGGAACGTTAGAGGCTGCCACAGGGCAGGCAGAGGCGCAAGCCTCTCTCCTCTCATCTTTATTGCCCCATCTTACTACAGAAATGAAAACTACTCCTCCTCAGCCAGCTGAACGACAACACCAAACAGTATCTGCTGGGTCAAAGCTGGCAACTTGAAAGCTTTGCTATCCACATAGGCTTTTTCCCCAGAAATGGAGGAAAACTACCACCTCTTCACATGACAGAGCATTCCACCAAAAGATCAAGGGTCTGCTCCTTTATGCTAACACATTTTTGTCATACCTTTAATTTTTCCACAGCTTCCTGGTTCAGCTTGATGACTCCCTCCCCTAAAAGTGAATTGACTTGATAATCTCGTTCCGCACGTTCCACCTCCTCCTCACCCCAGCCCTGAATCAGATAACTGGTTGTGCAATTAATCGGCAAACCCCATAATCATTCCCACCCAACATGAGTTTCCTACCTCCTCTCTGAGGTTGCAGAGGTTAGGGAAAGTGCAACCCTACACCCTCCTCCCCTTTCCCACCCCCAGCTGCAGGTCATAGAATCATTTAGGTTGGAAAAGACCTTTAAGATCATCAAGTACAATTGTTAACATAACACTGCCATTCCACGACTAAACCATGTCCCTAAGCACCTCATCTACCTTTTTAAGTACCTCCAGAGATGGAGACTCAACCACTTCCCTGGGCAGCTCATTCCAGTGCCTGACAGATAACCCTTTCAGTGAAGAGTTTTTTTCCGAATGTCCAATCTAAACCTCCCCTGGCACAACTTGAGGCCATTTCCCCTTGTCCTATCTCCCATTACCAGGGAGTAGAAACCAACACCCACCTGGCTACAGCCTGCTGTCAGGCAGCTGTAGAGGGCAATAAGGTCTCCCCCTCAGCCTCCTCTAGGCTAAACAACCCCAGCTCCCTCAGCCGCTCCTCATCAGCCTTGTGCTCCAGACCCCTCACCAGCTTCACTGCTCTCCTCTGGACATGCTCCAGAAGAGGGAGGTCCCTGCCTCTCTCTGTGCCAGACCTTCTAGTCATACAGCAATGGTTCAGGTGGCTGATCCATCAGAAAACCTGCCCTGAAAAACAGCTGATCCAACAGAGAATATTAACTCACACTGTGGCCACAAAACCACTACGTAGGATGAATCAAAAGCATTGGGAGCATAAAGGCAAGGACTAAAGGTGGGACTGCCCCTTGCAGCCACGGCTAGCTAGTTCGGTCAGTTGAACTCTAATTCCAAACCAACAACTGCTTGTCAGTGATTTCATGTTTGGTTGAAATGAGCTGCAGATAGCTCCAGTGGGAGAAGAAAGGTAAGAAGAAGTAGGCACAAGCAGCCCAAAGGAGGAGTGAACTTTTCTTCCAGCAGTAACAGACCTGTTTCAGGGTGATCCCAAACTCCATCTCCCCTCTCTCACAGTTATCCCAAACACTGAAACTATTATTTAACTGACCACACTTTAAGTGAGGTAACAGAAATATCTACTGGGAAAAAACTGAGAGGCTGGCAAAGAATAAAAATCTGAGGTCATAAACCTCTTTAAACAGTTCCCTTAAAATATACTAGGACAAGGTGATTGTCATCACAGACAAGTAATTGTTTAGCAGGTTACTATTTAACAGCTTTAGTGTAAGCTGAAAAAGACTTCATGCCTCTTACAAAAAGGTTTCAACGCTAAGTGGTCACACAAGGTTGCACATCTGTGCACCTGCTGCACAGATCATACTCACACCACCTCCTAACAGCGTATCCTGGCCGTAAATCCAGAGTCACAAGGTCCTAGCAAAGACGACCGGACTATCAGCAGCATTTAGAGAACTGTACCCTAACCCTATTTGACAGGGGCTGATTTCATTCTGCCTACTGCAGGCGAAGAAACCCGAGTTCTCATTTACTCATCAGCAGCTTATCTGTCCCCATACATCCGTAAGTTCCTCTGGCATTTATGTGCTTTTAATAAACAAATAAAACTTCCCCCACAAAGGCAAAGAAACTTGTGGCAATAAAACTTGTGGTAACAGGTTATAAAGACCGCATCCTGCTGTAGATTAAACCAGATTTTAAAACCAAGCTGTTCTTCAAAAATGACATTAACAGCCTACAACACATAACTGGTAATTTACCAACACATCCTTTATATTTCCGTTTTGCTAATGAAGTCTAAGGACAAGCTCCAATTCAATCACTGGAACTGATTTACCTTTATCCATATTTACCTTTATCCATATTTACCTTTATCCATATTTACCTTCCAAACTTTGTATTGCTTCTTCAGGCTTCTTGCTGCACTGGCTGAAATGTAGCTCCCTCCCTGTTTCAGGAAGATACGGTCATTCGTGATTGGCCTTTACCACTGCAAATACCGCAAACCTTGGCTCAGCTGCGCTGCGGGCTGGAGAGCCAGAGCGAAGCTCCTGCTGGGCCCCTGCCCCGTTCCCCCAGAGGGCAGACATTTATTCTGTGTATGCAGAGACTGAGGGTAATGCCAAGTCCTCATCGGGGTGTCCTTAAGGGACTCCAAGGGCCTTCGGACACAGGCAGACCAAACGCATATCCTGCTTAATAGCCAGCAGCTCAGCACCTGAGCCATAAACTGCCAAATCCATCAGCTTTGGAACTTAAATGGCCATATTCCTTCCGTTTATAAATGGAAAACAGTTAATCCCGGCTTAACAACAGGGGACGAGAATCCTTATGCACACACAGTGAGTTCACACCTGCGCCCCCGACACCACACCAGGGGCTGCCCCAACACCAGATGACCCACTGGAAGCGGGG